AATAATTTTTTTTGTTTAATATTATTACAAAAAAATCAAATAGTTATTGTTAACTTACCACTTTTTTTGTAATATTTCAAAAAAAATCTCTTCACTAAAGGCTCTTAATTAGTGAATAAAACACTAATTTGCGTATGTGTTTCTAAAATGCTACTTATAAGTAACAAACTAGGGCGGCATTAAAACATTATCCCAATGTAGTGATCAGATGACACAAAGACAAAGAACACCACATACAAGCTGAATATGTTTTGATATATAGATATATATATATATATATAATTTTTTAATTTAATACTCTCACTTGGTTGTTGAGATGCTTCTGTGCAAGTCAAGGGCATGAATTATCACTCCACAGCAACATCCAAAGAAGAAAATGTGTAAAATTAATGCTGTAACATCAAGCCTTGCGAAATGCCATTCCACTGCTCCTGTAGAACATTGTTCATGCCCAACTCATTTTTTATTTATTTATTTACTTATTTTTTGCCTAGTTCAGCAATCCCTCACGCGTTATTTGGCCACCCCCAGCAACAATCAACTCCCTCCTCTAAAATACGACTTCTATAACGTTTTTGTCTACATCAGGCTCACCTTTTCCTCTTCCTTCATCTTTTGCAAAGGCTTCACATTTCCATGGGGATTTCGTTTTGTCCTGGGGATGCACTCATGTGCAGTACTTTTTGTTGTATATTTCAAGGCTATTTTAACCAGAAACATACATATTAATAAATCAATACTAAACACGTGGCTGTGAGACATGTGATTCTGTTTTAGAAAAACAACATGAACACTGAGGAAACGAAGGTTACGGGTACAAGCACCTCGATATATCACCTTGCTCATAAAGAGGAGGAGGGAGAGCTGGGCACAGCTGAGGTTAGGCGCAGCGTTGCGAGCCCTTTCTAGAAACCTGGACCCGGGAATGGCATGAAAAAGCCGTGTCTGACAGCACCGTCGAAGGTCAGCACTCTGGGAACACGAGAAGTCACTAACGAATCATTCGTCTCCGGGGGACAAATTGCAGCACCCGTGCAAGTATCCTGTTTTAGTTATGCCTGGAATCTCCCTGAAAGATACTCTGAGTGGTCCGATACCGAATCGAGACGGATGAAAGTGCGGAGAAAAGAAAGTAACTTGTGGGCGTCGCGACTCGGCGAATAATACCGCGACCAATCTCTGGTCGAGGCGGTGGAGTGACCAGGACAGGTCGTGGTTTCACGACAAGGGCCACGTAAAACTTGCTCCCACTAAGCGATGGAGGCGTGCTTCTCCACTCGCCCGAAGCTCCTGGTTCCAATCAAGGCTCTGAGATCCACGAACTCCTTGTGCAGGCATACGACGAAACCAGTCAAACTGTTGGTCTGCGAGAGAGTGAGAGGGCGTGATGCGCGATGGATCGTCCACGAACATGGACAGGATGCTCTCACTCCTCCGCAGTGCAAATTATGTCTTGCAGCCACGGGAACAACGACGGCAGCTTCTCATAAGTCTGCTCAGTTGCCGCTTCGCACCCCACTCGATCCGATCTAAAAGTGCAGTAGCCATGACTACCCAACTCTGTTACAACAAACTGTGAGCCATGAGAGTTTGTTTGAACGCGTAGACATGTATGGGGATGTGCAACGTGGTTACTGAAAACTAGGAGCAAATCAGGTGAATCACGTAAGAGCTTCCGAGTTCGGTGCTGCAAGGACTTGGTTTGAGAGGTGGGTAAATAAGAGTTGGGTAAATACTAACAAAGATCCTTCTGTTTTTTAAAAAAAAATCGAAATTCAAAAATCAAAATTGAATCAATAATAAATATTATGGTGATAGTGAAATCAAACAAAGATCTTGCATTATGGAAAAACTGCAGACAAGTGATGCAATTTTTATTTCCTATTTTTTTATTTTTTGTGAACGGTCAAAGTCCAAAAAGAAGTTGAGAGAACTCTAAAGGCTTGGAGTAAGAAAATGTTTCTGGCAATGTGACCTTTACAAAAAGTCAAGGAGGAAGAAGACAACTTTGATAGAGAGCGTATATGTGGACTATCCAAATTCTTTTACAAAATGAAAATGTAAGAAACATAGAATAAAAGAAACAAAAACCAAGTAATGCAATTTTGCAGCAAACAACAAACAAATAACTTTACTAATTTAGAAGAAGGTAGATAATTTTTATGTGCACTAGATGATGATGTTTAAGAAAGATATACTAATTCCATTGTAGAATAGAAATATTGAAGCTATCTATGGGTTGTAAAAGAAAAAATAGCACAAAAATATATTAAAAAAAGTGTATTTAATTTTTTAAATTCAAAATGAATCAAATTAAAGAATAAAAAGGTAAAAAAATACAAAAAAGAAAACTTTTAATTAGTTTTTAATGATTGTTAAATAAACATGTGAGAATAACACAGCCATTTCTAAAATAATAAAATAATATAAAAATAGCTCATCACTACTCAATTAATTTTTAAAATTACCATATTTTACCAATTTTTATTGACATTTTATCAACATTTTAATAAATCAATTGCTTGAGCTTTTACCAAATTTATTAACACTTTTATTTACAAAAAAATGGTACTATATTTTATCAAATAAATTTAATATATTTTACCAAAAAAATGTACCATATTTTACCAAATTCGTAAGAAAATAAGGTATAAAATAATTGTACTATATTTAATCAAATTTATTGTAGTGATAATTTTAATATTTATTTTTTAAAAAATAAAAAGATTAAAATTAGAAACTTCATTGTGTTTATAGAACAAATGAATTTAGACTGATTAAACTCATAGCATCTCAAAAAAATTCAAATTTATTTTATTGGAAGTCAAAAAAGTTATCTGATCTTTTTCTTTAAAAGTAAAAATTAGAAATTTTCATAGAAAAAAAAGAAAAAAAACTAGGTCAAACATTAATTATATAAAAAATATTTTCATCTATTATAAAATTAACTTTAAAATTTAAATATTTTTAAAAAAGAAACATTTCTTTTTATCTTTCATTTTTTTAATATAATACAAGAACTGCATATAAGTAATAAAATAATAAGACCAATACAAGCAGCATATTAAATAAAAGTACTAGAATTTATCTTTTAATTATTTCAACGGATGTAAGATACTCATTTTTTATTTTTTTGGTAAAGTTTAATAAGACTAATTTTAAAATTAATTAATATCTATCTATAAATATAATAAATATAAATACAGTACTAACTCCTATAATATAAATTGCTTATTATATAAGAAAAAAGATCATTAGAAAAAGCTAAACTAATAAAGAATAAGAAAACCAAATTAAACCAAAGATGTCAGAGAAAAAACATGGCAAAAATAACTGCTATTATTATAAAAACAAGGGCCATAAATCAAACCAATTTTTAAAAAGCTAAAATTAGTTTTAGAAGGTATTAAGCTTATGATTAAAAATATTAAAATAAAGATATATTATTTCAATTTTCTAAGTCGTTTTGCAAGAATCAAAAGTCATAAGATTAGACAAAAAAATCCTTATATGGAAAGAAGATTTGAAGAAAAAATCAAGTAATTTTTTTTCACGAGAAATTGGTTTATTTAAAGATTCAAATCAAAAAAAATATTTTAATATTTATTTATGTATAAATCATTGATTTTTTTTTCATTAAAATAAAAGGCATTGAAAGATTAGTGCTTTTTTTTAGAAAACAAAAGAAGTAATAACTATTTATATGCAAGAAATAAATAAGAAAATAAAGTTACAAAAGGATCAAAAATTAGGAGTAGCAATGAAAATCTCTAAGAATACTTTAACATATATTATCTTAGTAGTATCAAAAAGATTCATGCTTGGGCTACTAAAATATAAAACTTAAATGATGTCCTTAGATAAGAATTATAATAATAGAAAGTAACAATAACACAAAGGCTTTTTAGTTTTACTAAGTAAATTTAGACATAATAGAAGGAAAATATTTCATTCTTACCATTTTTATATATTTCAAATTCTTTGTTAAAAAAAAGATGGAGGCAAAAAATTATGTAATTTAATTTTTAAATCAATATAGTAGAAATAAACATAGTTATTATTTTAAAAAAAGAAAAAAAATTCTTAATTGTTTTGGAGAAGAAGTTAAATGATAAAAGAATATTCTTTATGATTTTTTGAAAAAAAAAAGATTATATAATAAATTTCTTAATTCATTATATTCAAATGATAGAAAAAGATCTAAGATACCTAAAGTTGCAAGTATATGTATTATGGCTAAAGATTATCCATATGATGACCAAAAGAAATATGAACTTATATTGGCAAAAAGATATCTATAGCAAAAAAATATTTACAACTTATAGAAAAACAAAGGCAATAGCAATAGAGGAGTAGCAATCTCATTGAAAGAAAGAATAAACAAGAAATTTAAAAAAAAAAAAAAAAAATTGTGTTGCTTATCACTTCTTAAAAGATATATATATATATATATATATATATATATATATATTAAAAAATTAAATTCTCAATAAAAAAGAAACTCATTTTACTAGTGTTTTGTTAAGAACAAATTCGAACTATTGCAAAAATATATCTATTGTTAACAAGTGATGCAAACTTAAGTATAATAACAAGAACCATCACTAAAGTTGATATTGTTAAGTGGAAAAAAACACAACAATTCTTGTGACCCCTCTTGAATTAGAACTGTTGTGGGTTAAAGAAATCAAGTCCACCATGGCGAGTGCAATTAGATGACGGCAAAATAGAACTTCAAACTAAAATCCTTGTATTCCAAGGTTAGACGGAAAGGCAGCAATCCCAAGTGATTCAAGGGATGCTCAAGGTGGTTTTAAGCCTCTCCCTAGAGTTGGTCCATAGTAAGGAACGTAGGGTAAAATTTTCTGTGAAGTAGGAGCAGAGTTTTATTGCAAGTTCCGAAAGGCGAGGCTGCAAGTGAAGCCATGACAAACGCGGGAAAGGAGTGGCGTAGGGTAGTGAACGTAGGGAGTGAACAGCTTGGGTCGTCACACACATTCCAGGACAATGGCTGGAGCATCTGAATTCCAGCCCTGCGTGAGTGAGTGTGTGTGTGCCGAGGCTTCTGTGCACAATCACATTGAGTTGTGGCACACAATACTCGTGTGCGTCACGTGTGTAATACTGGAAATGGATTCCAAGTTTTCTTTTGCATCAAGGAAGGGTGCCGGATACTTCTTTCGCCATCCAGAAGCATGGAAGTATAAGTTCGATGCCGGCATTTGAATTTCAGAGCAGTGCCTCAGCCGATCAGAAGCGTCGTCAGGCGCTGCGAGGACTAATTCCTGTTGAGACTGTTGCATTCGAATTCGCAACCAGTCCACTGTGCTGCTGGTTTGAGGTTTGGGCTGTTTCGAGACTGGTGCGGGAGAGGTGGTGGCAACGGGAGTCATGAATGGTCTGATTCCAACCCCGGTTGCACATACTACGATGATCTTCTCACACCAGCAAACGAAGCATGTTGGAAGTTCCAAGCTGCCTATTTTGCGACAGAATGAGAGCAGTGGTGCAGTGGAGTTACAAGGGGATTTCCGGAAGCAGCCGGGGCAGCTGTTTCTGAGGAACGGTTCCAGCATTGAGAGGCGTGGGCGCTCGAAGCACCGCAGTAGAGTCAATGTGAGTGCGATCGATGCCGCCCAGCCATTTGATTTCGAGTCGATGAGGTCGCAAGAGCTGGAGAAGAGCACCCCACTTAAAGTCGGAATCGTGGGGTTCGGGAACTTCGGTCAGTTTTTGGCGGAGAGGATTGTGAAGCAAGGGCACACGGTTCTGGCCCACTCTAGAAGAGATTACAGCGAGAAGGCGCGGGCATTGGGTGTGTCATTTTTTAGGTCAGTTGGGTGCTCCAGAGATGATTGCTCTCTCGAATCGTTTTCTAGCAGTGACAAGCTTGCTTTTTGTCCTAACTAGAGGTGCTTGCGAACGTTTCCTACAACTATCCATCTATCTATGCATTTAGATGTACAAGAATATGTAGTTCTTCTGCTCCAAATAGATTCTTTTCCTAACAGTTATTGATGATAACATCTTGCTCTTGAAAATCCTTCTACATTTACTGGGAGAAGTGTTTTGGTTTCGTATTTGTATTGATCAGTGAATCTGAATGGTTTGGAGCTTCGAAGTCTGCAGTTGAGTGAAGGCTGTAGCTTGAACCGATAGCTATAGTTCCTCTCCCTTCATTTGATGTAAAGAGCCGGAGCTAGCATCATATGTGTCCGATGACCATCATTAATGACAATGCTGGCTTTTGAATCTGTAGAGACCCGGATGATTTTTGTGAGGAGCATCCTGAGGTCGTGCTTCTGTGCACCTCCATACTGTCAACCGAGGCCGTTTTACAATCACTTCCCCTGCAACGGCTCAGGCGCCACACCCTGTTTGTCGATGTGCTCTCCGTGAAGGAATTTCCGAAGAATCTCTTTCTTCAGGTATGTGGGAGTCGATCATGTGAAAAATCCAATGTGGATTCTGCTCTCGTCCAACTCCCAACCCCTTGCAAACAATTCTTTTATAATTTGTGGTAATTTTGAAGTGAACTCATTCCATCTAAGTTGAAGAACGGGCGTTTTGATCTTCACAGGTATTGCCCCCTGAATTCGATATACTCTGCGCCCATCCTATGTTTGGCCCTGAAAGTGGCAAGGGAAGTTGGGCTGGATTGCCATTTGTCTTCGACAAGGTTCGCGTCAGTAATGGACGGCGATCGAGAGTCGCTGACAAGTTCCTGGACATTTTCTCGAAAGAGGTAGAGCTCTTCCCTTCCTGTCATTATTTATAATATTTCACATTTCACGTTGGTAAAAGACAACTTCCTCCATCGACTCCTTAGCACGATTCGATGAAACAATTCCGAAATATGGACTTGTCAATTCACAAACAGCACGACGTTTATTGGGAGTTTTCGATGCCAGCAGTTATGTCAATGTGGTTCCACCTTGTACCTACACCGAAGGGTCAAGGGACTTAAAATCTTCCAACATGTATGGGCAAGTGCTCTCGGTTGCCTCCAGGTTTGTTAGTTACTTGTTACACTTCTAACTGAATGATGTTCCCGACCACGTCTTGTAGGGCTGTCGCATGGTGGAGATGTCTTGTGCGGAACACGATCGGTTTGCAGCAGGCAGCCAGTTTGTCACCCACACCGTTGGCAGGTTAGAATTCACAACTTTTCGCTTCGCCGCATGACAGGATAATTTCAAGCTTAGCTATCTCATTCTTTTTAGAGGATTTCCCAGTTGCACAGTAAAAGCCATTTAGTTGTTGCTTCTCTCCGAAGCAGTCTGCAGTGCAAGGTCTGAAGCACTGGCATATTCGATGCAGAGTATTGGGGAAGCTCGGGTTGCAGTCAACGTCGATCAACACCAAGGGTTACGAGACACTTCTTGGACTTGTAAGGCACAGATTCGCTTCTTTGATCTCGTCCTCAAAGGAAATAGTTAGCGTTCGTTTGTGAATAGATTCAACTTGCGAATGTCAATAATAATTCGCTGTGAGCAGGTACAAAACACATCGAATGATAGCTTCGAACTTTACTATGGATTATTCATGTACAACCCGAATGCTACTGAGGAGGTGAGAAAGCATACACTTTCTAGGCAAACTGAGTTGCTTGTGAAACATCACATCCATGCTGCTGTAGTCAAAATGTAATTCTAATCCTAAAGTTGTTCTGTGTCTTATTCCTAAATTTGTTAGTTCATTCCTTTGTGGTTTTGCGACAGAGCGATTGTTCTAGATCTGGCGACTTTAAATAATTGCATTAGCATAGGGTTGATGGTAGCGAGCTTAATGACTCTGTACTTGCAGTTAGAGCGGCTGGAAATAGCTTTCCACTCCGTCAAGAGACAACTGTTCGGGCAACTTCATGATAGATTTCGGAAACAGCTATTTAGTGACTCAAGTGCACCCAGAGCCTCTATCCCACAAGACTCTGCAGACCTATCAAAGAATGGAAGCTCTCAACCCAAAGCCCCTTCGAACAACGTGTCCAGAGTCTACAACAATACTGACATTATTTCTTCTTCGAATGGGATTTCCAGAATCGCCAAGAGCACCGACACTTCTACCTCCTCTATTGAATTAGAGCTGAGAAAGACCATCGGACTAAACAAAGATTCGTATTCAGTTTCAACGGTCCTGAAGTAATAAGGCTAGTCTCCAATCTAGAGCCTTCGCGAGATGTATCATACATCATTTGTAAGTAGTTAGGTCCACTTATAGTTCTAGAAAAAAAATTGCCAGATGGAGGCAAACTAAACAGGGGGCAATCTTCATCTGGTTGCAGTGGAGTGGCTCCTGTAATTTTGATCTGCAATTTCACAATCTTTGATTAAAGACGACAGAAAAACAAGCTGCATTGGACCCAACTTTTAAAACGAGGATTTTTTCATCGTAGTTAGCTCGGGGGATCAGCGGAAACAACTGAGGGAATAGATAAGAGAATACTGATGCGACCACCTTCAGAATAACTCGGATGGCACGCAATGCACCGACAGAATACCGGCAAGATGCGTAGTCGGGAATGACGTTTAACTATAATTCGTCAACGTTGAAGTAATAGCATCCTGTAACGTCCACAGCGTTGACTTGTTCAATGCATATGCGGTTCATGTTATTATTTTCTCCTGCAAACTTGAAGCTTGGGATGGCGTCGCAACTCGCGCAGAGTCACGGTTAGTACGTCGAGCTATATAAGCGACGCATGCGCGCGGTGTATTGGCGGCGGCAGGTTGAGCAGCCGTCCGTAATTGATTAGGATATTCGGCATGCAACTGAGCGACCCGGATCCGAATCCTGGCAACGGGAATTCTCAATTGCAAATTGGACTATAGGCTTATTTTTGTTCATTTTTATTCTTTGTCCTATCTGCCAGGTCTGCAACCTCACCCCACTTTGTCTCTCACCAGTGCCCAAGTCATGGAACTAGAATTGACTCATCACCCTCAATCAAACACAACAAATCTAGAAGAGGGTGCACCTTGCAAACTTGCATCCAAATCAAGCTCCAAGCCACCCCCAAACCACCCATTCAGAAAGTAGTGCAGCGATGCAAAAAATTTCAAAAATGTATTTTTACAAAAATTTGTACAATATGTAAACATCAACAAAAGAGGAGACTAAATGTGCCAAAAAGTACCAGAAAGGGCCACACCAAAATCTAAGGTAATACAGACTTATAATTTTGGTAAATCTAAGGTAATACCTTATCACATTCAAAGGTAGATTTGCTATTAGTAAGAATATAGGAATATTATTGATATATCAATATATTAGAGGGATATATACAATATTTTTCCTTAAAATAAATATAACAATTATTTTATATTTTTTCACAAAATTGGATGTACCATATGCATTGATTGATAGATTGAAACAATGTACGAAGATTTGAAATTTTATCTTCCTAATACTATAAGGACAAAGTAAGTATCCTAAATGGAGTAATTACTAGCAAAGATTTATGATTTTTTGTAATGTTACAAAATTATTTTGTAATACAAAATGGTAGCTAATTTTGTAATATTACATTGTAAGACTTACATTTAATGTTTTAAAATAGTAGCTAATGTATTCATTTGACTAATAGATTTTATGTGTTATGATTAAAAATATACCAAAAATGAGAAAGAAGCATTGCAATTAAAGTTTGATTATATGTTGGATAAGTCTTAGCTTACAATACATTTCTTATGCTATTATTTAATATTTCTTTAAAATGGAGATAAAGTTCTTTATTGAAATAAGACCTAATATGTCTCTACAAGCTAAAACTTATTTCTAGGAAGAGGTTTTGAAAAAATATCTATAGCCATCTACTTTGTGATATAATACTTCAATCCAATTTGTCTTTTTTCTATGCATTGGTTGATAAAATAATATTTTGTATTCAAATGCTTTATACAACTATAGTGTACTAGATTCTTAGCAATACTAATAGCATTCTGATTATCTTCATAGATAAAGAGCTTCTTTGGTGAAACAAGATTGAATTCTCTTAAAGATCTAAAATTCTTCCGGTCTATAGCAACATTAATTCCATCACAAAATAGGACAAAATGGACCAAAATAAAACTAAACAAAACTAAACAAAACTAAATAGAAAAGAATATGAAAGACAAAATAGAACAAAAAAAATAGAACACAGCAAAATAAAAAATACAAATTAAACTTTACTAAGAAAAAAAGACCAAAACCATACCTAACCAAATGTTTTTAAATGGCCTTAGTCAGTCCTATTTATACTTTGTTCAACCATCTTGGAATTTTTTAAAATATTCTTAATGGTAGGTCCAACAAAAATAACCGCCCTTTTAGAAGATTATAGAAGTGTACTCTACGTAGATAATCACCCTTAGTTCTTTTAAAATATTCTATAGTGGATCCCATGTAGACTAACAATGAAACTAAATTAGACTATCTCAAAAATCCAAGATCCTTCTATTCTATAGCAACATAAAATCTCATCACAAAATAGGAAAAAATAGACCAAAACAGAACTCAATAAAATAGGACATGAAAGACAAACTGAGCAAATAGAAACAAAACTAAATAAAAATGAACAAAAGGGTACAAAACCAAACTTTACTAAGAAAAAGGATTTAAAGCCATACTTAACTAGATGTCTCAAAAGGCCTTGGCCAGTCCCATTTATACCTTATCTTACTACCCTGGACTTGCTAAAATGTTCTTAGGTAGTGGACTCCATCTAGATAACTACCTTAAACTCTTTTTCTAAAAGATTCTATAGTGGATCCTATCTAGATAACTACCTTAAGCCTTTTATAGAAAATTCTATGGTAGATCCTACTTAAATAACCATCCTAAAGTCTTTCTAGAATATTCTATGATGGATCCTACTTAATCGACTAACCTAATCCCAATTCTAGAAACTTCCATGGTTCTAACTATCTATATAATTAACTTATCTATACCTTGTTATAATTAATTCCCTTCCACTAATATGAAACATCTTTGTTTCATTTCTGATGGTATTTCCAAACTACCTTATGGCAATGAGTGAGATTTTGTATACGTTCCCATGATGCATCATGAATGGAATAATCTTTCTAAAGAACTTTGAATTGAAGTTGAGGACATCTATTGCCACAACAAAGGTAGCTATGTTCCAAAATGCTATCCACTTTATATTCTTATTGGTCATCAATTACAACTAGCAGTGGTGGTGGTTAGTGTTGATCCAAAAAGTGCTTTGGCTTAGTATGAAATTCCTTCAGTTGTAAAATATAGAAGACTAGATACATCCAAATATGTGGTGAAAGCTAAAGGTGGTGTCGTATGGCGTGATTTGCTATCTAAGAATATACTGGGTATCTAGCTATAGAAAGTGTAGCTTAAACCTTTATATGAATCTTGTCTTAGCTTCCAAAACTCCTTTATTTTGCATAAAACTCAAAATATAACAAAATCCTTTCAAAACATATTTTTCCTCCAAAGGGTTTTCTTGTCCTGAACTTTAGAAATTCATAACACTTGATCTAGCCATTCAATTTGTCTCAAATTTTTAGGATAGATATAATTCACCCTTCAATTTTAATACAAAAAAAACCAACTATAAATTCACTCCCAATCTTTTGATATCTAAGAAATCCTAGCAGACGCTCTAAACCCTAATTTACAAGCACCGAGCACTATTTTCTTAATATCTCAAGAATCCAATACTCAAATGTCATAAAACTTATGTACAAAGTTTACTGACATGAAATTACACATTTTCTAAAATTTTGAGTCAAATCTTGTCAAATTGCTCAAGATATAGCTCAAGACACAACTACTAATAAATCGGGTCACTTACTACCCTTAGATTGCATGCACTGACTTCAAAATCCAATAACTCCTTTATACAAAATTTGAATCTAATAAGCAATCTAAAAAAAGTGTAGCCGCAAAAGTGCTCTCTCCATTCATAGTCGCCGATCCTCAATTGCTATCTGTACACGTGCGATATGTCAAAAAGAGTGATGGTAGCTCCCAAATCAACACCTTTACTTTGAGCGCTTGTATCTCCTTCATATAAACTCCAAACCATATAAAACTTGCACCAAAACCATAGCCAAAAACCTAAATTTGCTAATCCTAGCCTTCAAAGCTCAAATGGGCCCGAAATACTAACCCTAATCTCTAATATGGCCTCGGGCAGCCTCCTCAAAGCCTATTGGTCATGATTTTTGACCAATAGTAATGGAGATTTTCATCATTCATCTCCATTCATCTACATTGGTGCACTAATTACTTCTTTTGCTACCAAAATCCTTCTTCAATCCTTTTTCTTATAAGATTTATATAATTTATGCTCTAAACATCAAATAAAAGAATCAAAATAAGTTTTCAAAGGTCACAAATGTCTAACAAAGGTGACTCTAAATATTTAGAAGTTACTATCAACCAAAACCAATCTTAAAAGCTACTATTAAAAAGAAATTATAGTTATACAAATTCTATAGTAATCTTTTTAAACAACCTATTCTCAAGGTAATAATCAAATTATATTCTACAATCAACTAAAATCTACTAACATGGTTTTTATCATGTTACTTAATAAATTATATATTAAGTATATAATTATATTATTTTCATGTAATAGCCGAACTACAACACGAGAGCGGTATGCAACATCAAAAATTATTGCAGAAACTCAAAAAGGTCCAAGCATCGAAGGTGCTAGTTGACGAATTTGGATTGATGTAGCAAGTGACAAGTTTGCGTTAGAGAGTAATACTTGATCACCATCTCAGAAGGTCTTGTATTATTGATGGTTGTCTGCATATTACTTCTTTTGATTTTGTACAGTAAAGAAGTGGTGTCGTGCTTCTTATAAGGCCATTGTAAGTCATTTTATAAATTTCTCTATTATTTAGTTGTTTATATTGATAGGATGCTAAAGAATTGTTGGTATAATTAGATGTTAACCAATATTCAAAAAAATGATAAATAATTAATATTTGCTTAAATACTATCATTATAAGCAAACTCCAAAGGCATCAAGTATTCATCCCAATCATTATGATGAACCACCACAAATGCCCACAACATATCCTCCAAGGTCTGATTTGCACACTCTATTTGTCCATGTATTTGGAGATAGAAGGCTGTAGACATGACAAGTCGTATACCTAATAGCTTGAACAAGGCTTGCCAAAAATTTTCTATGAAGCATGGATCTCAATTTGAAACGATGACACAACGTCATTTATGGTGACAAAAGACAATATCAAAGAAGACTTGTACAAGCATTGTTTTGTTGTAACATAACTATTTGATAAAAGATAATAATATAGATCTTATTATAAAAGATCTAAGTTAAAAGATAAAGTAAAAAAATATAGATAAAAAATAGGAAGATAGTAAAATTTTAGTAGTAATGCTACTTTTTTACAA